CGGCGGAGACCAAGGCCCGCAACGGGAAGCCTGTCACGATTTGCATCCCCGATCTATCCCAACCCTCTCTTTATCACGCCCCTCGCAATAAGGCTAAGTCTTCAAACCCTAATTCCAACCCGGGCAAGAATCTGGTTGGGGTTTTGTCGCCTCCCCTGGAGCCTCAGATGGCGGTTAAGTCCACCAAACGAGCATCCATTGTCGGCGTTGTTCTTGATTGCTATTACAAGCAGATCTCCCAGATGCCGAGCTGGTCGAAACTTGACTTCTGTAGATTTGCTGCAGTTTGGGCTGGGGAGGATTGCCCTTGTACCTCAGATTTCGACCAGAAATCAGAGAGTGTTATCGAGAATGGGGATGGATTTGGGAATGGAATTTCAGATGGGGATGATGAGATTGAAAGCGTGGGGGAAAGAGTCAAGGATTTGGTAATCCAGGAACATAATTCAACAGATGGGGGAGAAAAAGGTGCACAAATTCCTCTGCCATGGGAATTACTGCAGCCGGTTTTGAGGATTTTGGGACATTGTTTGCTGGGGCCGTTGAATGCTGATGAGGTGAAGGATGCAGCATCCATAGCCGTTCGCCGAATGTATGCTCGAGCTTCACATGATTTGGTTCCTCAAGCTATTTTGGCGACTAGGAGTTTGATCCAACTAGATAAACGGGCGCGTGAATCAGCCAAGGCTGTATTCACAGAGGCTGCTACTCCTTCTGGTTCGAATGCCAACACACCAAGTAAAGCTAAGAAACCTGAGATCCTTTTGGTTTCCAAGTGAAGATGATGATAAGGTAGCAGAGTACGTCTGGTGTTCTTTACTTTCCTTTTACCTTGCATTGTGATAATTTATGCTGTTTTTTGTTTTATGTAGATTATTATGAGTATAAATATGGTTTAATTATCTGTATTGATGACTATGGATGTGTTAGATTGAAGAGATAGATGCTTATTGGTGTTGTGTAAGATTATGAATTGATTTTCTTTTGATTTCTACCTTTTTTTTTTTACTTTTAAATGTTGTTGATTCTTGTGGTGTAATGTTGTTGATATTGCTGTTTTGGTTGTTTGGTCTTTCAATGTATAAGTGTGGTTTTTGTTACTTACTTGATTGCTACCTTTTTTTCTGTTTTTTGTGTTGACAATGAGTAAATGTGTAAACCATCATTCCTTGACAATGATTGAAAATCATTCATGTGGTTCTTTCTCTTATGTCTCCATTAAATTTAAAATCGCCTTGAGCCTAAGTTATGTTTAACAATCATGTTAATAATAATGGAAGTTCTCGTGTTTTAGACCAAGATTGTCCTACTTATTTACCCATGTTAGGCTTCTCAACCTCTTACTACGTAAAACCTTGCCGGTGATGATGCTCTTCTCCCTGTTTACTGCTTGGCTGGCACTTGATTTAGGTTATGTTTCTTTTTGGTGTGGTAGAGGAGCCTTGTTTAGTTTGTCGTCTTCGGTTATAGAATACCCTCGCATTCTCTAGGGTTCTCTTCTGTGATGGCTATTGTTCAATGTAGCAGAATCACATGCCGATTATCCATTCTCTTATTTTATTTTCTGTAGCAATAAAATTGTGGATGCCGTGTGTAAAATATTTGTACGTTCATGCATGCCGCAAGATTCTTGGGATGGAGCTTGATTCGAGTTATACCAGATTAATGTATTGTTCATGTTAAATGTGAAATGGGTAGTTGCCTGGGCAAGATGACATGGTCTTTTTGGTTTGTTGCAAGCTACCTCTCAAGAGGCGATAAGGCTAACAGGTAATTGTGGCGTTTGTCTTGTTGATTGATGGCACTTGGCACAAAGCAATTGACTCACCACAATATGGCCAAAACGCATTTGGGTTTGAACTGGAATTCAAGTTGCCCTGTTTCTTGATTTTCAAATTATATTCGATCACCCTGCAACTGCAATAATTGAGTTCCGGTGGGGAAATATTAACAAATTTCTTAACCGAAAGTTCGTAAATTTCCAGTAGCACCTCAGAATCACCTTTATTCCCTCTGTTTTTGTGGAAGTGTGCAAGTGTTTATGTTTAGGATGTTTTGCACTCTAATTCCATGAGAAAATACCAAATTATGTTCCCTTTCTGTTATACTATTTTTGTAGCTTTTTTAATTCTTCACTTCGTCTCGTCTTTCTAATTTCTACTTTTTAGTTTTGTCACTTCCATTTTTCACAGCTCTTATTTTCTTTTCCTTTTTACCGTTTCTTGTGTTTTTCTGCTTGATTTAGGTGGGCCTATTTTAAACCAATTGAACATATACTTAATCTAATTTGTAATTTGTTCATCTCTAGGATTGATTGTTTTTGTTTGGCTTTTCCTCAAGTTCTCTTAAAGCATCTCCATTCTCATGTTACTTTCATAAGAAAAAAAAA